GCGAAAGTGTAAGAAAATTCTCGATCAAGAGGTTCGTCATTATGATGTATCTAGCGATCTATTATAATCGCACGAGTGATTCCAATCACTTTTGAATATTTTCGGCATTGTGGTTGTGTTCAGCGTTCCCGAATGCATTAATGAATTTGTTGTGAGCCCGAGCCAGGCTATGTTTGCCTTGTAGCTATTATCTAATTAACTTAATTTGATATTACTGCATTCGATTTTACGCGTTTTCATTAGGGATGTGCGAGAAGGGATTTCATACCCATAATGCATTTGCAGTCTTCAGGTGTGCCGAGTTAAAAGCTATGCGGATGTGAAGCCGTTGTTACCGCATCGTATAGTTCGTTTAATGGAAATTCTCGAGTATTATAGTCCGAGCCGAATTGGAAAAATCGATCCAAATTTCGCGTTTTGCGGTATTATATTCGTTGAACAACGTTATGTTGCATACGTTATGAATGTGAGCTTTTCGTAATCGTTGTGATTGGTATCACTGTTATTTTGTTAACAACAAAATAGAATGTAATCCTTAACAACAAATATTATTTAATGTAATATATTGCTTAACAATATTCGAAATTTAGCCATTTTTGCAGCTGTAGGTACTACGCTGAATTGATGGAAAATTTGATTGATTGAGAGGGCAAAACACTGGATTAGAGAAGAAGATTCGGTTGTGAAGAGTGTAAGTTTAGTTGATTGTTGCAGTTGTTGCTGAAAGCGATCGCGAAATGGAACAAAGAGACGTTCGATTATTTGCGTCCTGATTTTGTGATAGGTTATAATAGTGTCAATGTTGGCTCTGAGGAAACGTTGGCCCTACATAAACGACAAGAAGACGTACGGAGTTGTTGTTGATTCGTGACGATTCATTGGATTACTTTCAGTCGTCCTATTGTAGAGATCATTTTTGATGTATATCAGCATTGGTATGTTCATGATGTGATTGTTTTGCTTAGGTGTTGCGTAAATTTCGACAGAAGCATTTGAATCTGTTGGTAGCGACCAGTGTGTTGGAGGAGGGTGTCGATGTGAAGCAATGCAATGTGGTCATCAGATTCGATCGACCCACTGATTATCGAGCTTATATCCAGGTTTTCATTCAGTTACCTCCTCTTCACTTCTGCGTTCCTCCGCAATACTTTTTAGTTCTGAACAATTAATGNTTGTTTCAGTCAAAAGGACGTGCTCGTAAAGAAGGTGCTAATTACTTTATGTTAGTCGAGCAGAGTGACAAAGCAAAGTGCGCATCAGATCTCAGAGACTTCTTTCAAATTGAGCAGGTAGGGCACTTTCTTTTAATGATACATTATTCCTATCATGGCACTGTTATTATTGCCATTTTTTTTCATCGTTGTGCTTTTCACTGCTTTATCATTACTGTTATCGCTATTATTCAGGCCGTAATTTTATCAACTTTGCATCGATATTGATTTTAGATGCTGTTGAAACGATACAGAACCACACACAATCCACCAGATGATCTTCCGTTGTTGGGTGAGATTGACGTCGACTGTATAATACCGCCGTATGTGGTCGAATCGACCGGTGCTAAAGTTACAATGTCTTCGGCGATATCGCTCGTTAATAGGTCACTTGAGTTGTTCTGTTTTAAGATGACTGTCACACATTTTTTGACGGACTGCAGTAAATTAACCGTACTGATTCGGTTGAATCTCTTGTGTCTCATTTTATATTTGCTTGCGCTAAGGAGCGACAAGAATTTTATTAGTGGTCGATTGTTGCGTTTTGCATCAATGAGCTTTTGAATGTTTTAAAAATCTCTGATTATATTGCCTTTT